AGAAAGAAAAGGGGGTATTTTACCTTGAGACACAAAAGAAGGAAGTCTAATTCTTCTTCTGTGTAAATATTAGGAGACCTAAATGAACAGCCCTGAGAAACTTTCTGTGATTTAGTGATACAAATGCAGTATTATACTGACTGAAGACACTAAATCTTTTGAGGGTGCATGAAATGCAAATATTTCTTAACAGCCCTGTAAAAAAGCAGAATTCAACCACCCAGAGATCTTTTTCTGAAACTTAGTCCACTTGCAAACTGTCTTTTGTTGTTAATGAAATATCATTTTTGTCTCATTCCTTGTTTCACTACTTCTCAATTTTAATGTATCTTCTTTCTTTTCCTCTGTTTCTTTGTTATTCTTCCTTATTGTCTGCCACTTTTCACTCATCTTGTTTTCGTTCTTTCTCCCCATAATCATAGAATCATGAAGGTTGGAAAAAGACCTCTAAGATCATCAAGTCCTGTCATAACGTTTTTGCTTTTCCCTCCAGCTTTGACTTCTCTGAGATTTTTTTCCTTCAGTTGCTCCTCATAAGAGAGTTTCTGTAATATTTTCCCTCAGCAAGCATCCACTTTAAGGATTTTCCCCCCAACTACACTTGCCAAGGCAGAGTAATGAATGAATCCTTTTTGTAATAGAAAACAAAGTCCTAGGTAAAAGTTACACAGTAATGTCTATGGGGTCTCGCATTGTTTTAGTCTGGGTGAGCTGGTTATGAATTTCCTATTTGGACAATTAGGAGAGAGACTTGTGCTCTGAGAATTGCTAATTTAAATCCATGTCACACATCGGGTTACTCACTCATGAAACCTGTCTTGTTCCTGACATAAATATATTCTTTTTCTGGATAATGTCAGCCTGTGATTATCACTGGAGCTGATAAAAGCAGTATAATCACCTTTGGCTTGGCTTAGAAAACCTAACCTATCCTAAAAGCTGCCCATCAAAATGTTTTTGATTATGTAACGTTTGTAATAGAAAATACAGATTAATCCAAACTGCAGTGTTTTGCCAGGCTATGGATCTACCCTTCTATTCACTGTTTGGAGGTGAAATTGTCTTTTTCCAGGCCAGCTCTCTGCCATACTAGCATATTCGAGAGGATGTGAGGGCACAATTTGCTCTTCATTTCAGAATCACTGAAAGGATGGATATTATATTCTTACTGCTCTTGTGTAGTGCAGGATTCCCTTATTACAGGGATCCTGCTGGAGGGCCTGTGAAGAGGGGAATTTCTTACAGCATGACTTCAACTTAGACATAGCCAAGACACAGAGAGTCAGACCTGCACCATACATCCTCCAGGATCCAGTAGAGGCAAAAAGAAGGTGGGCCAGGGGAAGGAGATGTCCTCAAGAAGCACTGCAAAGGCTATCACGTTGTCTCTTCCCCAAGGTTCTTCTTCCCCCTTTGTCATAAGTTTTGGGAAATAATTAATTTTAATTGGGACTATGGCCCAGAAATTATGATGCACACCACCATGTACAAGGACATACATTTGCTTCTCCTCCTGTGGATTCCCATGCAATCCTATACTAGGTGGGAAATGGCTTTCTGAATTATGACAGCTCTCCACCTGATTATGGAAGAGTGGATTTTTCTGGTAAAAAACAGCTTCTGAAAGGTAATCTACACTACAAGGAATACTACACTACTGTATTCTAATTATCATGTTACATATTGATTCTGCTTGCAAGTGCAAGATAGGTGTGCATCAACTTTTGAGTTATTAAACAATGAATAAAAGGAAATTACAAGATGGAAGGTAGTAACTTTCTCTAATTGACAGAATTTTTCTGTGCATCAAGGAAGCACCTTGCTCATCTTTCCTTTGGAATCAGAATTGTGAACTCAGTTTCTCAGCAGAAAGTTTTTGGAAATATTCTCTGACAATTACATAATGGAGCTACACAGTGGACTACACTGGGATCAGCATTTTCAATGTCAATATTTTACATTTCTGATTGGTATTGGTATTGTAAGGAAGCCAGAGTTAAAAACACTTCGACAAGTGTTCTTCTTATTAGTTAAAAAGTGCTCTACTCTTATTAAAGTACTAGTGCAAACATCTATAACCTTCTGAAATGAAAATATACCCCTGAAAACAGTCAATATGCTTTAAAACTTTTTAAAGGAAAACTTAGGAAAGTAAAAATGTTCTTGTTGCCACGTTAAAAGAAAAATGACTGGCTCCAGTGCTTAAGTTTTCAACTCTCATGAAAACTGCAAGCCAGCAAAAACTGTTCCCCAAGTGCTTTGTACGGTGTTGTTTATAGTTACAGAAATAATTTCTTTTCATTAGCTTATGCCTGGCAAGAAGACATCTTAAACCACATCATGTGAGGGAGGAGACAGTGAAGGGTGAATTTTTGAATGCAAAACTCTGGCATAAAATATAAAGCTGTTGAACAGGCAGAGCTGGCTCATTGTTCTGCTGGTTTCACATGGCATTCCCTTCTTTCCCTCTCTTTTTCTTTATGCCTGCACACAGTAAAAAATCAGTTGTTTTTTTCCCCATAAATTGCTGTATAAATAGTTTTACTCATTTATTAAGAAAAATATAACTCCTACTGAAAATTTAATTGCTAAGAGCTGTACCTCCACCACTATGCAGACAACAAGCCTCATTTTTATAGCACAGTTCCTGAAAAGGGCTGACTTTCTTTGGCTCCTTAGTGATAATCCACTGATTCCTGGAAAACAGAATAATTCCTTGACAAGATGAGAAACTAAGTATTCTATTTATTTCTAGCAAAACCTTGATGAGTCTGGATCAAAATTATGAAGAAATTATTGGCTCTGTAGAGAGCAAAAGGGAAGGACATTTGTCATATATATACTGCATTGATTTAAGCAGTTATACACTCCTAGGAATCTCCATTTCATTTTTCAGACTACACTGTATAGAAATACCTTTTACAAGAAATTTTTTGCCCAGATTAAGAATAAATATTTTCCTCTTTTTAATAATAACAATAATTAGCATATGTATTATTTACACACCCTTATGTACACTAACAGTGCAGCCACCCCCATTCTGTCAGCCCCTACACTGAGCATCATGCTATGCTGTGTCATTTGAAAGATGCCAGCAATGGATGGAGCCACATTTGGAAATGAACCAAGGACAGATGGAGCTGCACCGTATAAGTCTCACTGACTCTCATGTAAAGCAGAAAGCATGTTTAGATTGCAGTAACTCTTTATTATTTAAAGGGTTCAAATTGTGCACAACTTTTCTTCCTTTGGAACGGCAGGAGAAAGAAAGTACTTAATTCTCTCTATTTTCTGCCAATGACTTTGAGCTCCATATTGGCTATTTTGTCTTCTGGTGTTTTCCTGCATTCTCTACTGCTCCATTAATGGAATATTTCTGTTGTTCACCAGTGATAGCTAAATCTAGTTTCTCTTGAAGGAAATAAAGCCTGTTCTTTCTTACCACTGAACAGTTCATAGATTATGAATGAGAGATAAGTCCCATCTTGTAAGTCCTGATTTTCTGCCTGGTGTGTGAGCAAGTTCTGATGCTGGACCTCAGACTGCTCCAACCCACGTTTATCTGAGAACAGTGCAGAGATATTTGTTTGCAAGAGTGCGCAATCTTGAAGACTTCTTCAGAAGAGTATTTTTAGATTCTGTTGCACACTGATGCCATGCTGTTCGAAAATAAGACAGTGGAAAGATTTTTTAATGAGGGACAATTAGAAGAGTGTTGGTTTGTTCAGGAAGGCAAAATAAAGGCTAAAAGAGTAAAAGACTGCTGCCTATAAATAAGCAAAGAGGCAAAAAGCACAGCACTAGTGAAGAAGGGCAAGGTAATAAACACTATTTGCATAGGAGCAAAAAGGTCTAAATAGGTGCCAATATGTATGGATAGACTGGAAATTTTACAAGGTTTATTCATTTGGGCAGGCAAGCCTATAGCAGCCTCCTGATGGGAATGGCAGATATGAAAAAAACAAGATGTATCAGTGATTGTGCTGAAAACATGTATGTGAAGGGCATTTGGGGTGCTGTATGGATAACAACGAGTGAACCTCAGCAACCTCAGCAACCAGTGGGTCTCTGCTAATTCCACATTCACTGAGAAGGGTGTGCCAGTGAAATGGTGCAGGGGACAGCTGTAGGAAGTGGTGGGTGAGATTTCATGAGACCCACAGGCTGTAGCATGAGGAAAAACAAGAATAATGAAAAGGATCCACAAGTTTCACAGCTGCACTTGGGTAAGTATCCCCTGCGTCACACAAAAATCAGGCTTTCTGCTGACATCTCCACATCAATGCCAGGTGAAAAATTAATCTTCCAATTCAGCAGCTGCAGCAGGATGTGTGCTCAACCAGGCACTATTGCTCTTCTTGCCTGTAAAGGAAGTAAAAGCCTCTTAATTCGAGGAGGGGCTGTCAGCGAGGAGGAGGAGGAAGGTGAGTTCAAAAGGACATAGTCTTTAAGCTGTGCCAGGGGAGATTTAGGTTGGATATTAGTACGAATTTCTTCACAAAAGGAGTAACTGGCCATGGGAACTAGCCCGGGGAGGTGGCGGACTCACCATCCCTGGAGGTGTTAGACTGGACGTGGCACTCAATTCCATGGTCTGGTTCACAGTGTGGTGTTCAGCCACAGGCTGGACTCCATGATCTCAGAGGTCTTTTCTAAACAAATTCTGTGACAGATCAGCCATGGCTGGATGGACTCCGGGCACGCAACACAAGGAAGACCTGGGCGACAGGGCCGCAGACAGGGTCACACGCAGGAGCGGGCGGTGCAGCTCCCGAATCCAGCCGTAATTCCAAGGCGGAGAAAGCGGACTCACCCTTGTGGTGCGGCCGCCGCTCCCTGCCCCCGGTGGGCGGGCGCGCGCGGCTGCCTGCTGCCGGGTTGAGCGACACCCCTGTCAATCAGAGCTCGCGTGCGGGCACCGCCCCCCTTCCCGTCGTGCCTGCGCGCGGCGGGCGCTGAAATTCAAATCCCGGTAGCGGTTAGGGTGGAGGTTTGGTTGTTCGTTGGTGGGCGATTCTGGTGAGCGGATACTGGTGGTACCGGCGCAGCGATGGATCCGTTCACCGAGGTGAGGGCACGGCTTGGCCCGTCCAGTCCCCTCTGGGGAGGGAGCGCAGCCAGGGAGGCTTCGAGTTGTCGTTGTTGGGGTCCGCGGGGACCCAGGGAAGGGTTGGGGTCCGAAGGGAAGGGAGCTGATCCTTGCGCCGCGCTCTCGGGACGGGATAGTTGCTCTTGGCGGAGTCCTGTCAGCCACCTTCGTCCCCCCTTGTGGGGGGATTTGCGGGCTTGCAGTGACCCTCTTTCTCTGCAGAGGGGAGACCCTCGCAGCCCCTCCCCGCCTTGCTCCTGCCGGTGCCTCCGCTCCTGAAGCCGCCCGCGCTGTGTCAGATCCTGCCGGGAGAGGACGGAGCATGGAGGATTGGCGCAAGGGTTTGCGGAGGAAAGGCCCTTTTCCAAGCCGAGCGTTTGCCTTTCATGCGCGTCTGCCAGATAAGATTTCCAGCGAGGACGGAAAGAATCCCAGGAGCAGATGGGAGCGCTGTTGACATTCTGTGCCTGACATACTTAAAGGTCGCATCATAAGTCTGTCCAAAGTGGAGAACATCTGATAAAGAAAGTGACCTATTTGGCACTATTGCCATCTGCGATTGGTCACTTTCTTTGGCAGGCACAGTTCCTCTTTTATATATACATATAAAAAAAAAAAACAAGTCCGTCAGTTGTTAGGGTGAATTAGCTGTGTGTGTGCTTAAGTTTTACAGAGGCAAAATTATAGTAAAATGAGCAATTGACAACCTTGAATCCATATGGAGGTTTCTTAAAGATACTATGCTATACTCTGATTTCATGTCAGAGGTGTAGTTTTAAAGATGTCTTGTGACTGCTTTGAGAAATGTCATAGTAAAAAGGGCCTTCAATCCACAGCCTATGTAAATAAAACCTGAACTACTTGGAAAAAAAAAAAACCTCAAAGCAGATACACTGATTAAATACTCTTCTCTCTTTGTGAACAATCTGTTTATCAAACTGACATTCTTTAGATAATTTGCGTGCCCGAAGAAGGTGACTGCATAGGTCTGATTTTTAAAAATTGAACATAAGGTGTTGATCTGAACAGATTTAGTGATTATGTTATGCCAAGGCAGTTCTACCCTATCCCCATGTAAAGTCTTGCTAAGTGGAAACATCTAAAACCTCCTTCCTTAATTGGTAGGGAGTGACATGATCCAGCTCGTCTTAAATAAACTTCAAGTCCTGACTATGAATGAAGTTTAAAATAGTTTTGCATGCTGGGAGATATTCCAACCTGTACACGCCCTTCTTGTACATAGCTGACTTTGAAATGCTTTGAAAATGACCAACTGCGAGGCCACTCCCCAGAGTAAACTTCATTCATAGCCAGTATTGCAGAATGCATAAAAAGTCACCTTATCAAGAATATTTCTGCTGTGGAGGACATTCCACTGTTGTGTCAAGTTCTGACCAATATTAATGTCCTAGTATTGAAGTTTAGTAACTTCCCAAAGTTCTGTGAAAAGAAAGCGTTTTACTACCTCTTTTTAAGTATTTATGTTCTGTGGTTGGCGTTGCTATTTTTTTTCTTTTAATACAATTTTCCTTTAGTTTAACTGTTTTCCAATAATTTTTGTCTACACATTACTATACTCTGTTACTTGCAGGGACCTGGTGAGGCACTGTAAGTGTTGATTATGTAAAATGTAATAATTCAAGCCTCAATTGGACGAAGCATACTGTTACTTCAGCGTCTCCGGATCACTTTGCAGTAGCAAATTTTGTCTGTGTCTCAATGAATTTAAGCTCAAATAAATCTTGGTGTAAGAGTCAGTGGAATGCTTTTAAATCAGTTCTGAAATCATGTTTCTTTTGGTTAATCTTGCGAAAAAAATCTGAACCTTCTGAATGTCAACCAAATTATTAATACAGATCACACTGAGCATATGGTACAGTGAGTACGTTCTCAGGATCACAGTGAACATTTGTGACTCCGTTCATAGCTGATTTTATAACTCAACTTTCTTGTGCAAAAGGCTTTATAGTTCTTACTACAGGATGTTAGAAATTGTCTAGGTTATTTTGTACTTTGAAGTAGTTTTTACCATTCATAGAGGCAAGGATGGTTGCTTAGCATAGAGGATGAGCAAAGAAAAATAAGCAATGCAGTTTGGGGAAAATTTGCAAATAGGAGGTTTGAAGTTGATTATTCCGTTATTTGCTCACTTTATTTTGCTAGCAAAGTAGGGTAGTTAGAACAAATTCTTGTAATCATATATGGGCCTAGGTATCTTTTCTAATATATACTTTAAAACATACTTTTGAAAACAAACTTTTGAAAAACTGAAAAACTGAAGTTTCCTATTAACATTTGAAGTGGGAAGGTTTTTTTCTGGTTTTTAGAAAGTGCTTTTGTAACACAGTAATCCTCTGACTTTGACTTCATAGTCCTCAGATTCCTTGATGTAATAAAATAGGTAATGGTCTCAGGCACATTGTGTGATTATTAGGATTGTTCTGTGCAGGGTCAGGAGTTGGACTTCTAGTGGGTTCCTTCCAACTCAGTCTATTTTAGGATTTTAGACTTCTATGATACTCTGAAACTTTGTCATCAGAACACTTGGACAATGTACTTGTAGAAAATATTCTGTTGATGGACTTGGAAAGTAAGCCTCACGTTGTAGAGTGTGGCTTACTCATCGTGTGTAATAGCACCGTTGGAATTATGGCAGTTGAATGGAAAATTTGAGATGCAAGAAGCCAATAGGAGCTGGAGCTGAACAACAGAGGTATGCATTCTTGGGAAGTGACATCTCACATGTAACAACTGAAACTCTGTTTTGCTCAACTAACAAAACAGAAAGGAATGTACTGCTATTTGAATAGAACTGTAGGAATACTGTTGTAAGACATATATTCAAGTTCTTGCAAGAAGAACCGTTAATTTAAATCTCCTAGGATTTTTTTTAACGGATTTTTTTATATGCATTTTGTAGCTCTGCATTTTGGAAATAAGGAAAGTTGACTTATGGACACAACTAGCATGTAACCTGTATTGAAGGCATTCATGTCATTTCATGCATTTTGTTTTGGGGATTTTTTTTTTTCCAAATTCTTCCTCTTTTGTGAAAGTTAGCAAAGCTGAGATTTGTTTTCTCAAAAACCTGTTGAGATTACATTCTCTTTGTCCTGTGTTGCCCACAATGGAACATTATTTAAGACTTCAGCCTTAGACAGTTAAAAATGTGAAATGTGTATTTAATTGCTGTGCAACAGGACACATAATGGCTGGTACAGTTCTGACAATAATTTATGTGCCACCAAACAAGTGCAGTTTATATGCTTCCCTTTAAAGGCCATTAGTTCAATTGCACAATTTCTTGTCTCAACCTTAAAATCTAGACTGATAGCAACCTTAAAATCTAGACTGATAG